CTTTCCCAGATAATAAGCCCACTCGGGCTTTTGAGCGCATGCGCTAAAATAAGCCTTCCCAAAAAAAAATAAGTCCTCCCTGAAAATAAGTCCAAGCACTTACTTCAGGGGTCAAAAGAAAATAAGACCCTGTCTTATTTTGGGGGAGACACGGTAATAGATGTGGATATATTCTATGTTTAAGCATGAATAAACTGCCTTATAGGTATTTTTATTCCTGCATGTTTTGTTATCTACACATTTTGCTTTACAATACACATACTTTGATTTTTTTTCAGCCAGTATTTTTGGACAAAAAAGCTCTGAAATGTAAGAAGTATAACTTTCTCTCATCTAATATCCTCCAGGACTACACTCTGATTTTCATCAGTCAATATGCCAGATTGGCTGCAGACATGTAGTCCAACACATCTGACGGGCATATGTTGAGAAAGTCTGTTCTATACCTCATTATTTTTGAGAGTTTAGGAATGTATCAAAAGAATATTGGTTCAAAGATATATTCAAGGCTTTCGTGATATATCTCATTTTCATCTGTATATAGAAGTATTATGATTGTGGAAAGAAAAAAAAATCATATATTAACATTTACCTGTCCATTTTTATGCAAAAAATGATAATACACTAATCTAGTGTGAAAATATTTGATGTTCTTGCACAAATTAAAAATGTTATTTGAGAATATCTCATGAATAACCCAGAAGTAAATGTACATATGCTGTCATTTGGTTCATTGTTGACATTATTGTCTTTATCTAATTTTAAATATTATGTTCTCAATTGTGATTAAAAAACCACTGATGAGAAAAAGTAAAAAAGAATCAGTTCACTGGTGTTGCAATTCAAACTTGCTCTATATTTTATCCCTCTATCCTGCCTTAGAATGTATGAAACTGGTAGTTGTGGAGGTAAATTAGAATGTCTGATCCAAAACATAAATCATGAAATAATTTATCAACTCATACATATAATCCCAATAACAAAGTTACTTTCTATGAATATGTCAGTATTCCTCACTAAAAGGAATATTTTCCATTTGGGTCAGTCTTCTTAAATCTCTCTCATTGACCTTCTATAGGTAGTCCTTGACTACAATTGGGACCAGAATTTCCACTGCTTAGCAAAGCAGTTGTTAAGTAAGTTGTGCCTGATTTTATGATATTTTTGCCTTAGTTAAGTGAATCCTTGCAGTCATTAAATGAATCCAGCTTCCCCCATTGACTTTGCTTTTTGGAAGCCAGCTGGGAAGGTTGCAAATGGCAATCACTTGACCCCGGAACACTGCAATTATTGTAAAATACATGCCATGCACTCAAATTTTGATTGTGACTAGGGGGAGGCTGTAATAGGCATAAGTGTGAAGACCAGTCATAAGTCACTTCTTGCACTATTGTTATAACTTTGAATGGAAACAAAATGAATGGTTGTAAGTTGAGGACTGCCTCTATTTCTCAGCAATAACCTATCCATTCTATCCTTTTGTCTGTCCAATGATTGGCAAATGAACAAGACTGCCAAATAAAGGACAACCCAAATCTACAGTCTTTTCCTGCTTGCATCCATTCATAGTATAAACATGCCCTGGCTATCTATAATTATCTATTTTACCATTCCTGTCCCTAGACTTAGGGGCAGCTTGAAAGTAGCATTATATCTCCTCCTAGATCCTTCAAAGTAGTATTATATCTCTTTTATTGCCATATCATCCAGGAACAGCTTCAGGGTGTATAAAATTGTTGGAATTTTTCACTCATTCTGTAGGGAAGTCAAGTGACTGGACAATGACTATGAAGAGAAGCAATAGGTAGGTTAGAAATCGACAATAGCCAGGTTCCTGTTAGTATAGTTTGCTGTATAGATTCAAGGATGGTGGAGATAGCACTCAACAGTGAGAAAATGCCTCAAGGAGTATTAACTATAAAGACTCTTCTCAATCAAATTTATAGACATCAACATCAGTAAGTAATGCCCCTCCCTTGCACATTCCAAGTTGGCTATCTGCAATAAGATACCAACCTTAAGTCTGAACTAATTTACTGCATTGGCATTAGACTGAGATAAATCCTTAAGACTCAATATCTAAGAATTTGCTGTTGGTCATATTGAAAACTAGTTTGGTGTATTGTAAGGGTTAAGGCTCTAGGTTCTAGAAACACAGAGAAGATCAAATCCCATCTTAAGCACCAAGCCAGCTGGGTGATTTTGGGCCAGTCACTTTCTCTCCGCTCTAGGAAGTAGACAAGGACATTCCCCAAAAAACTTGCCAAGAAAACTGCAGTCACCAAGAGTTAAAATTGACTTGAAGGCACCTCTTCCCAAATGGCCATGAGTATCAACTGTAAAGCTGAGCCCTCACTATTGCAAAATGTCTGGATATTAAGCATGTTTTTACAGCCCTTCAAGAGAAGCCAAGTCAGAGAGCAGACCCAAGAATGATTGCAACTCTATTTTATTCATATTAGCTATAGTAACTGAATCTTAAAAGCCTGTGTTTTCTCTACCCTCCTCCTCAACTCAAGACAGTTAAGGCACAACTAGTTTAAGTTTTCTAATTGTCCTACACTAAAATGTTTTTTAAATGGATGTCAAGCAGTTTCTCCAAGATCATTCCTGTGTTCCCTGCATTTAATATCAGGTAACCTACAATCTAGCACTCCTCCTCTGGGGAGTGTGAATCAAAGACCTCTGTCAGCAAATTAACAATCTGAGTCTCCTGCTTGAGGGCAGGAGGGGTATTGGACTAGAAGACTTCCAATGTCCCTTCCAGATCTATTCTGATTGATTGATCATTAAACTATAATTCCTAAGATACACTGTGTGAAGACAAATTTCAGATTTGTTTAAAAAGTGACTATACCCTTGAGTTGAATTTGACTTGTTCACAGAATTCTCTTAAGAAAAGTATGAAAGTATTTTGACAGGTTTTTTCCCTGTTTAGTCTATCCTACAACCTAGGAATTTCCAAGAGTTACCTGCTGAGGCCACTGTCTGGGACCAAACAAATTTAACAATGAGATATGCCAATGAGATTGCCTTTATTCTCCTTAAGCACTTTGGCAATTAGCAAGAGTTTAATAGGCTGAGTTTTTATAAATATATTTATCTTTGTGCTGAGCAAGCTTGCCTAATAATTCAGTTGCCTCTCAGATTTCTGTCCTTAAAAACAAAATGCTGTAAATGCAGCATCAAACCAACAGCACAGCACTGCATCTCTCAGGTGGTTTCCAAATAATCTCTGAAGAAAAATGATAGTGTTTTGCTGCTCAGAGTTAATGTGAGGAAAGCAACAATAAAGCACTTTGGGAACAACTGCTAATTTTTTTCAGGCTAAATTGTATGAAGTTTCCACAAGCTTGTCCATGTTCTGGAATTTTTAAGAGCACTTTGCTCCAGTTGTTTACACAACAACTCAGGTTAATTGGCCAGATCGATTCCCATAAAAATCCTTCTTTATCATAGCAGCTTGTTTCAGTAAACGTGCATAATGTAAATCCATATTAATTAAATATCCCCGAGTGCTGTCACACCTGTTAAGATAAAGGGGCGTCGAAAGCAATGCTATGCAACGAAATGCCAAAGCAGAGCTGATCAAAGCAAAGGCAAAACTCAGGGTGGGGATAACGAAACTGAGCAAGCATCCCCTCCCCTGTAGTTAAAAGGAATGATAATTCCATTATCCTCCCGCTACTCAATGAATAGCAGCTGAGAGGGGCAGGAGGGGAACCATTATTCTTATTCAAGATCAAGAGGGCAGGACCCAATGTTTTGATAACGCTCTATCTAAATCCCTTAGAAATGGAGAATGGCGCCAACAATAGACTGAGGTACAGCGACAGAATCGCCCAGGCAGCTTTAGGGCACGTATGAAAAAGGCAGCCGCGAACAAATGAGCCCCTCGGGCGCGCAGCCAATCCAGCGCTCGCCCGAAGCCCAGCAATTAAAAAGAAAGGAAGAGGGAGGGAGTGTAGGCAGAGGAAGCGGAGAAGGACTACAACGTCCAGAGGCCCAGTGGGCGGTAGGTGTGCGCGTGCGTAATATAGAAAGCCGGTGTGTATGTAACCTTCTCCAGTGAATTAGGTCCTTTCTTCAAGTCGGAGCCGAGATTTGGGGCGCGGGGTGGTCTGGGGGCGGGGAGACATCCTCTTTCCCTCCGCCTTGCACCCCTGGGACATGCAACCAATTGCTGATCTTCCCTGCTGGGATTAGCACGGGACGGGGGGGAGCGGACAGGGGTGCAGTTTGATTCTCCCTTCCCTTTCTCGGGGCTCCAGGATTTTTCCTTGCAAGAAGTCGTCGGATTCAGGAAAAGGACAAAGGCTGTCGCTTTTGCGGGCGATCGGCAAAGGTAACGCTGACGCGGGGTTTGTGGGCGGCAGCTTGTCAGAAGTTTTAGTCCGCGGAGTTCTGAAAAGTTTCGTGCCACTTGTCCTTGCTAAAGAGAGGGAGGAGGGAGATTGAAATCAGCCCGGGAAAATGCTTCTCTTGATTCTCGGCAATCTCAAAATCAGATTTGGGGGGGGGGGAGCGAGTTGGATCTGAAAGTCGCCGTTTGTAGTCGGGTTATCGGAGGATCTCGGGTTTTATTGCAAAAAAAAAAAAAAAAAAGCCGGGCCGCCGGGAAGTCGGTACCGTCTCCCCCAACACAGGCCGAAAGAAAAGTGGGTGTGAGTCGGAGATCGATAATGACTTGTATTGCAATCAGTGCTTCTTCTTTGCTCTTGTTTTGAGCAAGAACAGAGCGACAGGTAACGTGCTGAGAAGATGACTTGGATGTTGGCCAAGAGGGCTTGCAACTCTTTTGCACAGATTCAAATCTGAAAGATATTCAGGTGTAGAGAACGTTTAATCGATTGAATTATTTTCATGCTGGGGGAGCGGAATTATACAGCTAAATTTGCAGCCATCAACTGTATCTGGTTAAGCTGTACCCACCTATCCCTAATTTTACACAGCAATATGTTTTTAGGCTCCTTTTTTTTTTTACAAAGGTGTAGGTGGGATTGTTGAAAAATAGTGGATGAAGTTTACTTGTGTCCATATTTCATTTGGTAATTCACTTTGATTTCTGCCTACCTTGCAGGAGCTGCCTGTTTCACTAGACGCTTTCCCTTGGATGAGAAGTCTAAGGATGGAACAGCCATGGTGGAAAGGAGACCTTGCAGCTGACATACATCAGACACTAAGACTGAAGGTTAGATTAGATGGCTGCTTCTTTTTTTTCTCTCTGTCCTTTACTGTTGCTACAATTCAAAACAGGTACAACCGGCTGTTTAGTTGTCCTTCCAAAGTAACTTCCAAATAAAGACTCAAGCAATTGGAAGTATTTTTTTTAAAAAATGACTGAAATTAAACAAAGCTTTCAGATTTGAAGTTACTAAGAACACACATGGCAACTACTTTATTTAGGAAAGATCCGATTGTAACAAATAGGTAATAAATTGTTCTTAAACAGATGTATTTAATGTAGTAAGGAAGATGACCTTGGCAGAGAGAATGCAAGAGGCAAGGAAGAGGCTGGGGCAGCAGGGAGGGAGAAAGATAATTGGTTATAATTTTAAAAACCTTGGAAGTCCATTTATTTGTCTGTTGTGTTACCTTCCCCATCCCCAGACCTTGCATATCTTTATCAAGGACACTTTATGTTCTACACATTTCTCAGCTGCAATCCAGCTGGCTGGATCTGCTATGAATACAGCTGAAAAAAATCAACCTGATAAAATGGAGATTGCTCTCCTTCTCCCTCCCCCTTTTGAATATGACCAAGGTCAAACCCACTTCCTCTCTTTGCCTAATCCCATCAGCCAAATTGACCCTCTTTGCTTCCTGAAAGCCTATTTGCCTAACAATAGAACTAACTCCAAGGAGGTGCAGAGACCTGGACAACTTCCCCAAACCAGCCAACCAATCATATCCCCAGGTTTCCTGTCTTGTATCCATTAAAATCTTTCAAAATTTTATCTATTGTTTAGGGTTTATCTTTCTTCTAAAGCAGGCACCCCAATGATCATTGCAGTAGACATGGCTCTTCAGAACTGTACTTCTTCCTTTGGCAAAACTCCCCAGTAGTTATATAATTGCCATTACCATGACATCCATGGTAATCATGGATATATCATGACTTCTTGAAGTTGCTAGTATAATTATTTCAAAGAATGTGATAAGCATGCATCTGGGGTTTTATTTATCTAACAAAGCCATTTATCTTATGTTCTTCAACTAGGGGATATATGGATGAAGGCTCTTCTTTAAGTTCATTTATGTTTTCTTCTGAGTAAATATGGAAAGAATTGCTTTCCATGGGAAAATGATACATTTTAGTACTCTCTTAATGACCATAATTGAAACCAGCAACTTGGTTGCTAAGTGGAAAATTGTGTGACTGTGACAGATCTTCTGCCACTTCTCATTGTCATTAAGTGAGTCAAACTAGTCATTGATTGCATCATCAAATAACAATGATTTGTGATTTTATTTCTGTATTCTCTGTGAACTCTGGTTTTCAGGACTTAATTGTGAAGCATGTGAATGGTGATCCTGCAACCATAGGATACTGCAACTATTGTAAATGGATACCAGTTGCAAAGTGCCTGAATGGCAATTGCTGTGATAGTTGTAAATGTGAGGATTGGTCACATATTGGGGGGTGCGGGTGTTACAGCATTGTAATTTAGAACAGTTGCTAAAAAAGGAAGTTGGTAAGTAAGGATTACCTTACTAAAAATAAAGCTGCCATATCTAGTCTGCAAAAGTTTGGATGACCACAAAATGGCATTATTATAATACTTCCAAGCTGCCATCTGTTGCATGTCCACATTATGCAGTCCAAATCCGGTACCGCTAACTTTTTTTTCTTCCTTTCTAAAAGCAGAATGTATCTAAACACATGAACAGATGATTAATAATTCAGACAGTTTTATCTTGCAATGTACTCTCTGAAATGGAAATACTTTTAAAAAGCTATAGGTGGATGTGGTATAGGTGTAGGGATATATTCTTTGCACTGATTTAGGAGCCAATTTTGAGGCCACAGGTATAAGTGAACACTGGTACATCTGCAACAAAATCAATTAGGCTACAACATAGCATCATTACTTGGGGCCAAATCTTATAGATTCTTGGCTTGGTTATTTTCTGAGTTGATCCATCAAACAGAGAAAGGTCCTTACTCAAGCTACTGTAGTCCTGGAGGTAAACTATCTTCTCTTAACACAGTTGGATTTACCCTGTTTCCCCGAAAATAAGACCTCCCTGGATAATAAGCCCAATCGGGCTTTTGAGCGCATAAGTCACTGTCTTATTTTCTGGGAAACACAGTACTTCTCAGAGCTGAATTGGAATCCACTGAATGAAAGATGACTATTTTTTTTTTGTCTGTTACATAGCTCCTACAATTGTAAAGATTCCTGAGAAAAGTCCCTGATAATGCATAACAGATATTCCTTTTAGCACTGAATAATTCTCTGGTGGTTTTTAACTATTTTCTGCACTATTATGGCTTTGTATAGAGATTTGTATTTCAGCAATATTCAGAATTATGCCTGTTAAGTAGCCTACTACTACATTTTATGAGAGAAGGACCTTTGGCATTTAAAAAAAATCTAGCTGTGTTTTTCAGTACACTGCATGAAAAACAGAAACTGGTTTATGTTTCACAATTATGATGAACGAACTGCGTGACAGGTGTGTTTTTGAAAGCACACATAGCCATAGGTTGCACATTTTTCAGCTTCTTTTGATTAGGCTATCCCATTGTTCATTATGTTGCCAATGCTAGCTTTTTCAAAGGAAAAAATGCAAAAAAGTATGAGTTTTATATGCTTTGAACATATGATGGAACAGAGGTCTTTCCTAATTTGCATCATTCAGTAACATAACGTGACTTGTAATAAGAAACAGTCAACGCTTAGAATCTCCTAAGAGGTTTCTCTAAATATTTACTTTTGTATATTCTAATGTTGTCTTCTGTCTCTTTAAGCAGGCTATTTAATTTTCTCTTAAATTATTCCTCCCCTACTCCTAGAGGATACTAGATTATTTTCAAAGGACCATTTCATTCTTGATTTTTTTTTCTTTATTGGCTATAAACCACAATAAATTAACAGCTAATGATGAGGATCTTGCCATAAGAGAATGTTTTCCTAATTGTTTCCATGCGTATGCTGAAAAATATCATGAATTAGTGAACTCTGGTAGATCTGAGCCTGAGATTTTATTTATTTACAGTATCTCTGCCTCTGAAGATACTAAAGAATTCCACTACACACCAATGCTGCTGCTAAGACCCATTTGCATTATTTTTATGTCCCACACCCTTGTGGTTGTGAATGTGCTCATACTTTGTCAGAGCTCCAGTTTCCATAATTTCCTAGGACAGATATATAAAAACTCTAGAATTATAAATTATAATTTCTTATGAGATAGAAGAATATTATTCATAGAAAGTAACATCAACTGTATGTTTATTCTTATTTTAATTTATTTATTAATTTAGACCAAATGTACTTATTTTGTACTGGCTCCAACATTTGACGTGCAGGGTCTGGTACATCACATCAAAGCAAGTAGAAATCTTAGTATAAAACTGATCGTGTACCTCTGCTTTGTGGGGTTGGAAACCTGACACCTCTGGAGCCTGCTAGGTAGAAGAAACAGATTTCTTATGTTTCCTCTCTCCTCTTCCCGCCTCCCCAGCCCAAATGTTCTCCTTGACTTTTCAGTGCCTGATTGGTGAAAGATAAAACTGTGTTTTCACAAAGCCTGAAAGACAGTTGTTAATACTGATAACAGTTTTGAAGGATTTGTGTTGTGATTGCTCCTCCCAGTTATGTCTAGTGAGTAGGGAGATCTGATCTAGTTGGAAAAATTAACATTACCTAGGCAGAAGCAGCCTGTCGGCTAGAAATTTCCATAGGCTGGTGGTTGTAGGTGTTAACCTATTTGCATAGACTGAAACATACTGCAACTCAGACTGGGTTTCAAAGCTGGGTTTTTTCCTTCTAATTTTTATATGTAATGAAACATTTTCCTTTCAGTGTTTAACTGTACACATGATATCTTATTGTTGGATATTAACCATACGCCTTATAGTTAATATAAAATAATTTCAGCAATCAAGAATAGTTTTTGATTTATATGATACCTATTCTCTCTAATATAGGATTAAAAATCAGGGGTACCCAGATCTGGCAGGTGTTGGGGTGAAAGATCAGGTCTACACATGAAGGTTCAATTAAGCTGATTTATTGCTAAAAGCCTTTGCACAGGAATTTTCTCAACTAAAGATCAGCATCTGGTTAGAGTTAGATATGGGTCAACAGCATTCGAGGAGAGTTGGGCCTTGTGGCTACATAGGGCTTTTAGGCTGATCCCTCTTTTCACACTGCCCCCTGGGTTCTGTGTCTCCTCCTACAGCAGGACCCCAGATCTTAAGGGTATACCCTGGCATTAATATAGGCTGAGGCTGGATCTCAATATTTATGAAAGTAGCGATCAATAGTTGTTATTTGCCTTAGAAGAAAATATCCAAGGAAGTGCCCATGGCTCTGTGCTGGTCTCTATGTCATATAGCATTTTTATCAATGGTTTGGATGGGGAATTGATGGGACATTTATAAAATTTGTAGCTGGCACAAAACTGCGAGGTGTGGCTGATATTTTAGTTGAATGAGAGGAAGTTCCAGAAACTCTAGGCAAGCTTGAACTGTATGCTAAAATGAAACTGGTGGAATTTAACAGAGAGAATTATCATGTTCTACACTGGGTAGGAAATAGACACATATAAGATGATGGAGATCTGACTTGGCCATAAAACTTGTGAAAAGTAATTGAATATGAATCAATAGTGTGCTGCAAATTAAAATGGTGTTGTGGGGTACATTAACCAGTCAAAAATATCATAGTGGGAAGTACTCCAAAAATCTCCTGGTAGATGGCTGTGTTGACGACCCTGGTCTTAATGAAGCACAGTGGTCCAAAGTCCTGTTGCTCAGTGGTCCAATGTCCTCTTTTCTGATGAGAGCAACTTTTACCAAAAGCACCAAAAACTGGTTCAATGACTGTGGGATTACTGTGCTTAATTAGCCTCTCTATTCTTCCTCCATACTCTGGGTCCTTGGTTTTCAAATGAGATGCAAAAGTTGCTCTCATCAGAAAAGAGGACTTTGGACCACTGAGCAACAGGACTTTGGACCACTGTGCTTCATGAAGACCAGGGTCAACACAGCCGTCTACCAGGAGATTTTGGAGCACTTCATGCTTCCTTCTGCAGACGAGCTTTATGGGGATGCTAACTTCATTTTCCAGCTGCCCACACTGCCAAAAGCACCAAAACCTGGTTCAATAACTGTGGGATTACTGTGTTTGATTGGCCAGCAAACTCGTCTGACTTGAACCCCATAGAGAATCTATGGGACATTGCCAAGAGAAAGATGGAGAGACATGAGACCAAACAATGTAGAAGAGCTGAAGGCCGCTATTGAAGCATCCTGGCCTTCTATAACACCCCAGCAGTGCCACAGGCTGATAGCTTCCATGCCACGCCATATTGAGGCAGTAATTGCTGCAAAAGGGGCCCAAACCAAGTACTGAGTACATATGCGTGCTTATACTTTTCAGAGGTCCGATATTGTTCTATGTACAATCCTTGTTTTATTGATTATATGTAATATTCTAATTTTCTGAGATGGTGGATTTGGGGTTTTCATGCGCTGTAAGCCATAATCATCACAATTATGACAAATCACAGCTTGAACTATCTTGCTTTGCATGTAATGAGTCTTATCTCATATATTAGTTTCACCTTTTAAGTTGCATTACTGAAATAAATGAACTTTTGCACGATATTCTAATTTTTCGAGTTTCACCTGTATATCACATCTATATGGTTGGCATTTCAAAAAATCAAAGCAATGAACTTCATTGCCCTTCTTAAGTTCAGCTCCCTTGACGATGGATAAAAGTGGCTTTTAAAGTATAGAATAGGTATTATAGAATACCTGCTTGCCTGCCTGCTAAATATGACGAAGATGTAGTTTTCTGAGGATTTGTATCCAGTTTTATTTTCCAGCCAACTCAGAAACTGCAAAATACTCTTGTCTTTGAAAGGAATGTGTTGATTTGGTTTTGCTTTTTGAACAAAGACTTGTGGGAACATCTAATCCTGTTTGTAAATGCATCTGGTACATCCCAGTAGATGATTGAGTATATATACCTGGGGAAATCAGGTCTTTACTATGGTATAAATATTTACTTGTGAGCCTTTAAGAGATTTTATCAAGTCTTTACAAACAAAGCAACTTGACCATTTTAGCCCAAACAAAGTGAAGTAGAACATATCTGGACCTGGATTTTAAATTTCAGGACTTAGTATCAATAACATTTTTTTCAAAACTGAACTAGTATATAGAATTTCTCAAAGGCAATAAATTGTTTTGTTCCATTTTGATGGCAGTGCCACTGAAGACCTATCAGGGAGACCTCTGCTAGTTGGGAAGAGGAACTGAAGCTCCACCTAGTTCTCTTCTCTGATCAGAATGCTAATGGCATGCTTTTGGGCTGCTTTGTTCCTTGGCAAAATTAGCTGCTTGAGTGCAGCTAGCTCTTCCAGCATAAACAGTGGCCATCACAGCATGCACTGGTTCTAGAAACTTGAGTTATTTGTGAACTGGATGAATATCTAACCCTCTCCCTCTCCTGTTAATTGGAAAGTTTGGGGAAAATCATCAAGCTTGTCTTTCGAGGGAGATTAAACCACATACCTTCACAGACACCTTCCAGACTTTTGCTCCTGCTCCTGCTTCAAAAGTGTAGACAAGTCAATTACATTTATATAATTCATTCTTTTGCTCCCAGGCATTGAATTATTGAAGCAAATGGACCTAAATTTTAAAAGCACAAGTTGCATTGCCAAGAGTACTGTTAACGTAAAGCTGCTTTCTATTCTGACTTGGCTTCTTGAATTCCACAAAGGTGATGAGGAATTCACTTAAAACAAGGAACATCCTACATAGTGTTTTTTTGTTCTTATATTCAGTTGGTTAGATAAATTGTTATGCATCATTTATCTAAGCGACTGAATATAAGAATAAAAAGCACTATCTAGGATGTTGTTTGCTTTAAGAAAATCTCCCATTACCTTTACCTTCACTCTTGTCTTCAAATATACAGAAGAGTATTCTTTTGTGAAGATTCTATAGTAACAATGACGATTAGTCGGTAGCAGTCTTTCTCAGCTTTTTTTTTTTAATCTTGGAGGAAGCCGTGACATAATTTTCAGGTCTTAAGGAACACCTGCCTAAAAATATGAAAAACCTCACAATACAAGTCATTTCTACCACTTTTATGACCTTTACAACAACAGCAAAGTAGCAGGTCAGCCACCAAATTGTATTATTGGAAAATTTCCACCTTTATGAGCTACAGTTTGAAAAACTTTGTTTGTTTGTTTGGTCTATCATGATTTCTCGTAGAACCTCAGTTGGAAAAAAAACAAAAACAAATCCAGAGCCTGGTTTTCATAGGTCAGGATAATCAAATGTCACTGTTAACATGATTTTGTAAATAATGCATCTTCATCAGAAATGTGATTAAGTATTTAGCTTAATAGCCAACATAACAGCTGTTGGTTTTTTTAAAAAAGATCTCTCTCCATAGACAAGTTTCTTTATTTCTTAGAATATGAACAATTTTGTATAAATTTAATTGCTTTCCCATACCGAATTATCTGGACGGGATGGTGAATGGGACCATTTTGTATTCCTGTGGTTATCTACTTGCCAGAACAGGTGGTGCAATGCTGATCTGGATGTTCTCTTTACTGAAATGGATATTCCCCTTTTCTTTCCCTCCCACCCTTGTTTGTGTTGCCATAGGAGCTGAAACTGCCGGTCTACAAGGCCCATTCTCCACAAATTGAAAGACGGCGCTATTTTGCTCACCTCCTTACCGTCCTCAGCAACCATTGCCAACTTTGTCCCACAGCTCGGCACCTTGCTGTCTACTTGCTGGACATTTTTATGGATCGCTATGATGTTACTGTGAAGCAGTTATATGTCGTTTCAATTGCATGTCTTCTCCTTGCAAGTAAGTCACCTTACCTGATGATACAGAAATCATGCAATTTGAGTTGGGTGGGGAAGGGACTTTCTCAAGTAAAAGCACAGAGAAAGCCACTGTAAACCCTGTAATATAATGCATCAAGAGACAGTTGCTTTCATGACAGCATTTCAGTAATCTTTGGGCTTGAATTTTTTTAGTGATGTCTTGGCTTCTTGTTGCGCAGAAATAATTGTTCAAATTACAGATAGTCCTTGACCACCCATTTAGTGACTGTTCAAAGTTACAACGGCACTGTAAAAGGTGTCTTAAGATTGGTTTTCATACTTACGCCCATTGCAGCATTCCCATGATCAGAGTGTGGGTGCTTGGCAACTGGCCTGTATTTATAACGGTTGCAGTGTCCTGGGGTCATGTAAATCGCCTTTTGCAATCTTCTAACGTGCAAAACCAATGGGGAACCAGATTAATTTAATAACCGTGTTACTAACAACTGCAACGATTCACTTAACAACTGTTCCCCAAGTAGTAAAATGGCAAAACTCAGCTGTCTTGCTTGGCAATAGACATTTTGGGCTCAATTGTGGTGGTAAGTCAAGGACAACCTGTACAGTCCAGAACAACAGAACAATGCTAAAGAAAGTTGTGTGTTCAGTGTGGTGGCCTTTAGATAGTCTAGTAATGACATGAAAGCTGTTTTTACCCAGTACATTGCTATGATATTGGAAGACCAAAAGTAGAAGCTAAGCTAGCCTTGTATTTGTGGCGGAAAATCTCCCAGACCCTTTAACCATTGAACATCCTGTCTGGTGCTGTGGGAATTGTAGTTCAGCCACCACCTGCTTCTCCGTGGCTTGTCTAACTCTGTAACGCATCCTTAGAAGTCTTAAGAGGTAGTGCAGACATTTTAACGGATTGTCTAAGCAAACGTATTTCAAGATTGCAACAGATTTTTTTTTCAGGTTGTTAATTCCTTGTTGGAAAGCTGTCATGATCCTAAACAAATGAAATGCACGCAAAACCTTTTTGAGCAGGCTTTTTAAGGAGAGTGTGGCCTATGGTTATTGGTGCAGTTAGATTCCAAAATACCAATCTGAAAGGGGGAAGATAAGCAGCAGCTAATAAAACAACCAAAACAAGAGAAGGAATCAGTGTGTCTCCTACTATTCATTGTCCATCCTTTGTACTCTGCTCCCTCAAAATGTTGATTTTGAACCCACAAGCTAGAAAAATGCTGATTGCAAATGCATGAAACTTAAGGAAGAAGAAGGAAAAATCACATTTATAATTTTTATGAATATAGAATAGGATCGGAGTTTTTGACATTCATACTTGTTACAGTATCAGGAATCCTCCGGTGAGACTCTGATTCATTTCTTGAGAAACCAGAATTCTAGCTTGTCAGGAATGTACAAGCTTTGGTGTACTATGGACTTTCAGACAAAACTGTCCAGCTTTCACCTGCTGTTCTGAATATGGAAATGGGATATTTCATCTGTATTATTAGCTCATTAGCTAATTCTGAAACATGGATGAAGTTCTTGTGGGGGACTCTACAACAGAAAGGAACAAGTGGAAGATTAGAAGCCATGACCAGTTATCTAGAGTTGCCTGAGCATCTATTAGATACAGCAAAGGGGTTGAAATATGCTAAATCTTTACTCCCATCTGCTGATCGTTTGCAGAGCACTTCTAATACAGGTAGTGCTCAACTTAACAACCGTGGCTGTTTAAAGATACAACAGCACTGGAAACAGTGACTTGTGACCATTTTTCACATTTATGACCACTGCAGCATCCCCATGGCCACATGATTTATATTCAAATGTTTGACAACTGATTTACATTTATGATGGTTGCAGTGTCCTGGAGTCCTGTGATCCCCTTCTGACAAGCAAAGTTAATAGAGAAATCACATTCGCCCACCCTGTTTCCCTGAAAATAAGACCTCCCTGGATAATAAGCCCAATTAGGCTTTTGAGCGCATGTGCTAAAGTAAGCCCTCCCCTGAAAGTAAGCCTTCCCCAGAAATATTGCAACACAGCAGCAGCCATGAGGTGACCATGCTTGCCGCCTCCTGCACCTCAAAGATAATAAGACCTCCCCAAAAATAAGGCCAAGTGCTTATTTCGGGGGTCAAAAGAAAATAAGACTCTGTCTTATTTTCAGGGGAACACGATAACAACCATGCTATTAATTTAACAACTGCAGTCATTCACTTAACAAAGGTGGCAAGAAAAGTTGTAAAATGGGGCAAAACTCAACAAACTTCTCACCTAGCAACATAAATTTTCGGCTCAGTTGTGGTCGAACATTGAGGACTACCGGAATTCCTAAATTATTTGGGTCATACCTGATAAATTTTAAAACATTGTGTGTAAGTGTTTTTCAGCCTTAGCAACTTTAAAGAAGTATAGACTTCAGTTCCAAAATTCTCCAGCCACCAGGAATGCTGGCTGGAAAATTCTGGGAGTTGAAGTCACAACCCTAAAATTACTCAGGTTGAAGAATACTATTCAATATCAGTATAATTTTAAAAAACCAGAAGCATTGTTTAATGCATTTGCAGCAATACATCACATTTAAATAATTTGCATATGGTATTGCTTATAAAAGTTGCGTACTGCACAGTATTAAATTATCCTAGCTTTGGAAAACCTTGATGAAACAGTCTGTTGTCCTAGACTAATTGGTATGTGGGCAATCCTACAGATAAGGAGTGGTTCTAAAACAATGTTTAAAAAAATTCCTGCATTTTTGTGCTAGCCATCAGCTTCAGTTTTGAATTATAAATCGGTCAAAATTAGTTTATCTTGGTTTTTATTGTAATTTGTTAGATAGAATGGAAATTTGGTAAATGCTTGATTACATTTAAAAAATTTCTTTTTGGGTAGTATCTTTTTTATCGACTCAGCATATCTTTATTTAAATAGGATTACTTTTGAGGCTTGGGAAGGTTTTTACTATCCCCTCTTTTTCCCCCATGAAAGATGGATGGATGCAGGTGCTTTATTGTTTTCCCATGAAGGACTTTGAGGATGTATGCAGATGCTTTACTGTTAAATTTTCTCTGTCTCCACCCCATATTTTTATGTTTTGTTGCTTTGATTTTTATAGAATGCAAAGTTTGGAAATTCTGAGGCAAACCTTACAGTGTATTTCATTTTAAATTCAGTGTTTCAAAGAAATAAAGGCTAAATTAGTGTTTATTAGTGTTGCAATATTTAGACTAAATATTTCCAAATTCGTGCACAACTAAGTAAGAACGTTACATCATTAAGCCTTTATATTGGTTGCGTTTAGCTAACATTAAAAAATGCGGCAAACCCCTATATTGGTTCCTTTTCGTTCTTCAAAATGATACTTGAATTTGAAACTGGGATTTGTCTAATGAGAAAAGGTAGAACATGCTCTCCGATCTGTCTTATGATTCCACAAATTCAGTCATGATGGAACTGTGGTTGATTTTTATGGCAGAAAAAAAAGTTCTTGGCTTCTTGTATGCATGAGGACTAACGAATCTACAGATGGGTTAACATGATGGTATAAGATGGAGATTGAATCAAGCACCTTGTGTTCATCTTTCCTTAGGCAAATTTGAAGAGAAGGAGGATAAAGTACCCAAACTAGAACTGCTGAACAACTTTGCTTACATGTGCAGCCTTAATCTAACACTTACGAAAAAAGACCTGCTGAAGATGGAGCTGTTGCTCCTGGAGAGCTTCAATTGGAATCTGTGTCTGCCAACCCCAGCACACTACATTGACTATTACCTCTTCGCTTCTGTCAGTGAGGGTGACCTCCACAAAGGCTGGCCCATCACGTCTGTCACCAAGTTCAGAACCATCATGGAGAAATACTCTCACTCATTCCTAGAAACTTCATTGCAAGGTAATAATCAGATCTTGGTTAGGAGCATTTGAGGTGTAGGAAGCTTCAGTGTAGCCTCATTATCATCATGAAGGCCAAAAGAAGGGGAAATGTTACCAGAAGGGGTTAAGGCAGGGATCCTCCAAGCTGTTCAACCCATCAACCCTGTCATGAAATTTCAGACAGTTCATTGATCCCAAGCAGTTATTGTATGGAAATAATTCTGCACATACTATTGAGTATTACTATGAATGATAATAATCATTTGGAGAGAGTCATCGAGCTTTCTGGGTCAATATCGACTTTGGAAAACCCTGATGAGGCGGAATAATATTTTTAAAAATATTTTTATTGAACATGTTTCAACATTTACACTACATGTAATAATGTGGAATAATATTTAAAGCACATTTTTAAATAGGTGTGTGAGAATGGGAACAAAAAGCCACTAGGAGGCAGCATTATGCCTCCAACCATTTTAGAAAAACTCATCAATCCATGATTCAGCTCTATGATGGCAACTTTGCTGAATTTTGGTTCTTGGGTTGTTTTCAACTTAGAAGTAATACAAGATTGAGGATAGTTAAAAGCAGCTTTTCTCAGTTCTTCCTATGCTGTTAAAGGATGTAAAGTGCCAAATGGTGATTTCTCGGTTATAAAGTATCAGCAGGGTGATCAGCTATATGTTTGCTGGACAACGAATTTTGTTGGTGGCATTCAAAGGATCCAACTCGCTAAGTCAGCTATTCATTCTCCGGTGCAGCCATCCACATCACATTATTGTCAATGTCCTGTGAAATGAGGGGGCAGAATTGCTAGGCATTGGACAGCATATAAATTGAACATGAAATTAGTAATTTCAACATTTTCCAATATTGCAAAGGAAAGTGAGAAGCTGTCAACTCCTTTTTTTCCTCATCCTCCATAAAAGCAAAATTTAAAACTTCCAGCAGTCTGAACAGGGCACCACTCCATTGGAACTCAGGATAAGGTCCAGCAGACCTTCTCGTTTTTAACCTTCCTCCATTCAGCCAAGGGGTGGGGAGAGGATGGGCTTTGTGAAATAATCACACATTCCTTGAGCAGCCCTGGCTCTGCAGGTCATTCTAGGAGCCTCATTGTTTCAACGGCATCAGAATTTGGTTTAATTTTTAAGTAAGCGTGCTCATGATCACAGTGCTAGAGGTCTAAAGCAGTGGTTCTCAACCTTCCCAATGCCGTGACCCTTTAATACAGTTCCTCATGTGGTAGTGACCCCCAACCATAAAATTGGTGTCTCGGTTCCTAAGACCATCGAAAATATGTGTTTTCCTATGGTCTTAGGTGACCTCTGTGAAAGGGTCATTCAACCCCCAAAGTGGTCCCNCCCCCAACCATAAAATTGGTGTCTCGGTTCCTAAGACCATCGAAAATATGTGTTTTCCTATGGTCTTAGGTGACCTCTGTGAAAGGGTCATTCAACCCCCAAAGTGGTCCCGACCCACAGGTTGAGAACCACTGGTCTAAAGGAAGCAGTAAATTAAATGCCTATTTAAGAGCATTTTTCATATTGTGAGTTATTACCTAGCACATTAAGAGATTTCAGTAACTTTCCATGACGTTCCTTGCAAACAGCCACGTCACCTCAGTATTAATCAGTTTTGTCCCAAAGATATTTTTTTTTAAACAGCAGTCTTATCTGTTTGTTTCCTCTTTTCCCTACCTATCCACCCCCCTCCCAGATCATGTTTTTCTCTCTTTTCGGCCTTCTCTGGTTGCTGCTGCTTGTCTGGGTGCCTCCCGCATCTACCTTGAGATCTCTCCCCCGTGGACCATACAGCTTCAACTGCTGACATGTTATTCCTGGGAACAGCTTGTTCCTTGCATTGAACTCATGCTTGGGTAAGTTTCAAAGTGAAGGAGACCATTGTCCTGAGCTTCCAATACAGTGTTATGCAACGGACAGATGCCAAGCTTGGATTTAAAGTAGGCAGGAGTGGGTTCCTTGTCTATTGGCTGCTCGTAAAAAGAGATTATGTCTTTTTCTGGTCTCGAAAGGTAGTTGCACCAGCCCAGGAAAATATGTGCAAGTTAGTTAAAAGGATTTGCTATTAGTAATGAATCTTCTTCAGTGATTTATGCATGCATTCGGAAATAAAATGTTGGTCTATAGAGAGGGGCCCTGTGATTGCCCTTATCCAAGATTTTACCAAGTGACACTTCCTCTTGGATTATGTAGTTTCTGCTCCCCTTGTCCTGAGCCTTTGCAGTGTGTTCATATAATAGATTCCTGCATAAATATTTGCCACATCAGCAAATTGACTGGCAACTTTTAAAATACACACCATCAACTCTGGTTCATTAGTTTCTCTTTCCTGAACTTGAAACAAGATAATGTAAAAGGTATTCAGCTATAAAAGTACTGAAAACATAAAATGCTCAGGAATTTTAATCCCCCCCCCCCAAAAAAAAACAGCATATGGGTTATTATGGGGAGATTTATTTATTCGGCAACCAAGTTTCATATTTTTGTTTAAAAAAATATTGCATTTTAAAGTATAAAAAGAAAAAACCCAAACGGGACAAAGCACAAGGTAAACACGTTATTAAAAATATGTGACAAGTGCTTAAAATAAATAAATAAATAAAATATGAACTATCAGAACAGTTGCAATTTTATATAATTATCTAATATTTATATTATACAGAATATAATGTTCATATTATATGACAATCATGCTTTTTAAAATCTATTGTACTTTGCTAAATGAGTCCCATATTTCATTATATTTATCCATACAAAGCCTATGTCTTTCCGCAATCCCCTCAGATAGCAAGTGTTGTTTGGTCTTGAATCCATTGAGTAAATGAGGCCATACATTTATCTTTCCAATGATGTAATATCAATCTTTTAATTGTAATATAGCACAAAGAGTCCATTCATGTTGTACAGTTGTCAGATTCTGTGTATTAGATATGTAATTCAAGAGAATACTATCCTCTGAAAATATTAGCTGTTTTCAGAGGATAGTATTCCTCTTGAATTACATATCTAATACACAGAATCTGACAACTGTGTTTGTTGTACAGTCGAATTTATAAGTACTCCACTATTTTCTCATAAAACATAGTAAGTATAGGGCAGTGGAAAAACATGTGTTTTATCTCCAACATACTGCTCTCCTAGACAGTTTTCTATACAAATGTAATGGAGTCCAATTATATTTTTGTTGTATAAGTAATAGTTTAAGGTCCACTGACACACTAGTATAGAAGATAAGACACTCTTCCATTGTCTAGGTAATGCAGGAATTTCAAACTCTGTAGTTTATTAATCTCTTAACACCTGTATACATAATTGATTTATGGATAACAAATAACATAGAATCTAACCATAGTTTTAAAGATTTAAACCAGTTTTACTATCTTGGGTATCTGGGAAGCTGGAAATGTTTTTGTCCATTGTTGTTAACAAGTATTGTAGCTATAAATATTGCCACTGACTTAAATCTGATACATGATATTTGCCAATAGAGGCAAATATGTGTAGCTCAGGGTTTGCCATGAAAGGTCCTTGGTGCTCTCTGAGCTTGCATGTTTTCTGGCAGATGTTTGATTACCCAAACTAGGTAACATCATCAGTGCTAGTTGATACTTGTTTCTCAGCATTGCCTATGTTAATTAGTTTCACATTTCTTTTGGTTTGATTGTGTTTTTGATTTATTTTTCTCCTAGCAAAGTTCACAGTAAGGACCCCAGAAAAGATACACAGGAAAAGGATTCCCTGAGCCTGTTGCAACAGCAGCAGCAGCAAATTATGGAAAGCCTAAACCTCCAGACGCCAACTCAGGTGCTCTTCCAACAGCCACAGTACCACCCCCAGCCCTCAGCTGTCCTGTCACAGTTCTGTTCTCCGATACAGGATCTGTGCTCCGCTTATCGGGACTCCCTGCAAGCTCCTCGATCCAGTGGTCTCAGTTCAGGGAATACTACGCTGAGCACTTATTCTGCCCTGCAGGATAATTTCCAGCCTGTTTTGCAGACTATGTCTCTCCAAAGGCCAATCACGATGCAGGTAGCCATTTCGACAGAATCCAGGCATTGCCTCTCATTGGTTTACGGCAGCAGCTACTTCAGCAGGCATCACTCATACACAGCAGGCTGTTTTGATGGCTGAGCGCCTATGTAAAAAGGGAGCCAGAGAGAGGCAGGAAGTTTTGCCAGGAAAAAAAACACAGGGTTGGCACACACAAACCAGTTTACCCATGTCACTATCAGCAGGATCTCCTCTATGAAGAAATGGCTGGACAAAAAAGCAGATCCAACTCACAAATGAATTTTGATTTCTCAGTACGTGTGCTTTGAAAGGAGGCAAGACTTTAAGAGAAAAAATGCAAAAAATATACCTCACCGCTTTCACACAGATTTACCAGGCTTCATTTTGAGGGAGGAAGACCTGGAAAAGCTTCTTCCATAAGACAAACTTTTGCTGTAAGGTAACTTTCCTGTGGCACATGTGATGAGGTTTGCCAGGTGGATGATTGTAGTTTTTAGCCCTGGAACCTTCTATTGGTGATAAAAAGGCCAGTGCTTGTTACACTCACCTTGATCTCTCTCTCTTTCTCTCTGGTGGAATACTTTATGAAGAAACTTCCTTGTTGCTTATTGGGAGATTCACACAGCAATATATTAAACATGAAAATAGGGAGAAAAATACTTGGAACTTTTTGAATACATTTAATAGGTTAAGCACCATTTGAGTTTCATATGTATAGTATTTTTAATTGCCTTTTTTAAAGTACCTCTAGATATTTGAGATGCTGCTGCCTTATGTCACAAACAGTCATTTGTTGAGAAAATATGGTTTACAAGTTATATCAGGGATTAATGTTTACTTGAAGAAGTCCACTGTAAAGAAAAATACTTAAATCCCTTAATTTTTGAGGGAACTGCTGCCTTTTATTATAGGATGTTAGGAATTTGCAATATGACTTAGAAAAATAGAGAAAAATATACATAGAAGGACTCTTAAAAGAGAAAAGAACACTTAAAAGGTTCAAGAATAAGGAATGCAAGGTTAATAGAAGGTGATCAAACAACTGAAAACTTGCATTCCTAAAAAGATACTAACTGGAATAATACTATAAATAACTATTGAGATAGGTTGCCATGCAAGTTATTTTCAAGGCAATGTGTAAATCAACATGACAAAGTAAATAACAATTCACTTTGAATATTAGCATTTAAAGCAAGGAATGAACCACAATGATAAAGAAAGCTAATCTCTTTCTGCAAATGCTGCTTTAGCACCTTAACTTAGTTCTTTCTAGCTGGACTCCAGAATTGGGAAGTACTGTAGGTTTGGAAAAGAGGGGAGGGGTTAACATTAACAGAAAATTGATGGAAATGGGTGGGCTACAATACCATGCCCCCACCACTGATTTTCTTCTAAAAATATAGATTTGACAACACATTGCCAGGTTTTGCCTTGCCCCAGTGCTCCAATATTTCTATATAAACGTACTTTAGGATCATGGCCTTAAACAATTTTATATGATTAAGTTTTGTACTAGACTTGTGTGGCTCCAATTTCAAGATATGTTGAAGGCGTCTACTACTGTGTGAAGTTGCTACTTGATGTGGAGCTATTGTCACTGAATGACAGTATTTTTTATGGAATGTTTCTCAGGATTGCAATAACACTATGTGCAATATGCTTTTATTCTATTGAATATCTAGAGTTTGTGTTGTTGAGAGTGCAGTGGTAAAATGTTATTTGTTCATTTTGCTTTAAGTTATAATTTTCAGAGAGAAAGTGAAGAATTTTTAACCGAAGAAGAGATTGCTGCTTTTAATGTAGGGGAGAATGTTTCCTTTTTATTGAAAAGTCTGGTGAGTCTGCTAAAGCCTGGTGCAGACCGGGCTTGTCCCGCTTTTGATGACAACATATGTAGCAAGACAAAGTCGGAAATATTTTTGTATGGATTTTCTTTCCTTGTTAGAAACATCTTCGTCAAAAAAATAGTAGCTGGACTTGTACGGTACCTTTTATGTATTTCTATAAAACTTTTTAACTACAACATTTAAGCAGACAGTAGTCACTTAATTGTGTAAAAACCACTGGAGAAGCTCAAGCTTATAGAATTTCCCCTGATTATTTCATGATGTCCTGTAAAGAAGGTGTTTTTGTGTATTGAAATTTTAGGTTTCTGTCTTTAAAAGGTTTATTGAATAAACAGCACAAAACTTTAATGGGCTTGTCTCCTTTTGGGTGCTCATAATCTTCGTAGGCTCTACTATACCATTTAATCAAATGTTTCCACTTCCTTCCATTCCTGTTACGGAGCTTCATAATGGTAGGAGGCAAAAATTCAATTAATCTAGGGGCTATCCAATGATTTTAGTGATTTACCCTGTAAAAAGACCATCCACTTCAGGAAGAAACATATGCAACACGCCAAATATAAAATGAAATACTGAACAACTAGGCCTGGGGGAACAGTCAAGTTTTCAAAGACATGGATCTCTGGGCAATGCTGGGCTAGAAAGCATACGACACAGTAGAAGAGAAGGCCTGTGAGCCTACTAATGTATTGACAAAGCAAGCTTTCTTTTGAAGCTGCAGAATATGTGCAAGATTGCCATTGCAAAAGTACACACCATACAACATATGTATCCTAAGAGAGCCACCTCTTGACCTGTTTTAGCATCTGATTAGCTCCACTTTGCAAACAGATGTACAAAGCTTCACCAAGTCACTTATCATTAAAAAGAATTGAGTTGCTTTCCAATTTAGTTTCCTGGAAACAATACTCAATTGTGCAAATAAGAAATTAGATTCCACTTATAGCTGATGAGAACAAAGGAATCTCAGCACTGCATCAAGCACTTTTAAATAGAATGCAAAGCCTTTTTTCCTTTCATGTTATATTTGCAGCTTAGAATTTCTACTCAAGAACTATTACCAAACACTAGTCCTTGTTATTAGCTTACTGAAGGGCCGATCCAGGCACCCAGTGTCTCTGTACTTCATTCTATCTAGGTCAGGGTGTCAAATGCCCTGTAAACAGGAAAGGACTGGCCCGCAGTGCCTCTGCCAGTGAAAATGGAGCCCGGGAGAGCCATGCAGGATTCTCCTGGGCTCTGGTTTTGGACACGACAGCCTCCTGCAGCCCTCTGCCAGTGAAAATGGGGCCTGGGGCATGCACAGCCCCCCCCCCCCCGTTCAGTTTTTACTGGCAGAGGAAGCCATCATGGCAAAAATGGGACCCCAGGGGGGCACAGATGCTGGCAGAGGGCTAGCAAAAAAAATGTTTCCCCTTTTGCATTTGAGCATTCAAGAAGGGACAGGAAAGGAGAATGGGAAAGAGGAAAGAAAAAGGAAGATGGGAAGAGAGCAAGGAAGGAAAGATAAGAAAATAGGGGAAGGAAGAAGAAAGGAGAATGAAGAGGGAAGGAAAAAGAAGATGAGGAGGAGGTGAAGGGAAGGAAGGAAAGAAGGAAGGAAGATTATAATGAGAGGGAGGAAGGGTCTGAGGCAAGCCCTGCCTTAGCATTTGGCCACCACAGGTGATCCCAACCTGAGTGATGTCAAACTTGCCATCCCCACCTGACGTAAAACACAACCCTGATGCGGCCCTCAGTGAAATCAAGTTTGACACCCCTGATCTAGGCACTTGAGAGGAATTTTATGTTCCCTTATATGGCATTCTTTTTCAAAAACTCCGATAGTTCCTCATGCATATGAAGATTGGGGGGAGACAAAAAAAGAGAGAAAGAGACTAAGAGGCAGTGGAAGCAAATTACAGAGAGCTTTCCTTTTCCCAAAGTTTAGCTGTAAATTCAACTATGGCAGACAGAAATATAAGAAGACAAAAGGACAATCATTAGTTGTCAAATCAAATGAAGCCTTTTTAGAGTTTGGTTAGGCATTGGTGGTAAAAAAAACATGTGGAAAAGGTATCTAGAAATTATAATCATGATTTGAAATGATGATGAAAAATGCTTCCAGATATGTGATATTATTTCAATACAGTTGATATCACTGTCATTACCATCAATTCATATAAATCAGTGGTGTCCAAAGTGGGCGGTACTGCCCCCTGGGGGGATGACTTAGGGGGGGCTCTAAGAGGCAAGGGGGTGTCGGGGGCACTAAGAGGCAAGGGAGGTGGCAGAGGAGTGCTGGAGGTGACCCCCCCGCGCAGGACACAATTCTGCCTGGGGCTCTGTTGGCTGCCAGTCAGCTGAACACTTCTGGCAGGGGTGAAATTCAGCCTAACGTCCCAAAGACTGGAAGGATTTTTCGTTCGCTCGCTCATTTAGAAGGCATACAAGCATGTCAGGCCGGGGAGGGGGGCAAAGAGGGGGGTGTTGAGGACTCGGAAAGTCCTCGACATACGACCTGGCAGCTAGCAACAGGCCAGGCAACGCCCTGATTGGCTAGGGCGCAGCATCATCAGTTGCCAGTCGCTGAAAGCGCGCCCATTGGTTATCCCTGCTCTGACAGCCCATTTAAATAGCTGTCAAGCAGGGATGGTGCTGAATCGCCTGTAAATAGTTCAATGTAAATAAACCTCTTGTTCTGGCAGTCCTGGCTCTCGTCTCGNATAGATAGATAGATAGATAGATAGATAGATAGATAGATAGATAGATAGATAGATAGATAGATAGATAGATAGATAGATAGATAGATAGATCAGGGGTGGGTTCCGGCAGGCACTACTGCTGGGTTGCTTGTGGACACGCTGCGTGCGCATGCACATTACAATAAAAATTGTTCTGCACATATGCAGAAGTGAAAAGCAAGATGGTGGCACCTATGGCACCACCCAGAGAACCGGTTCAGGGGCGTGGCAGGCCTGGGTCGCTACCACTACCAGTGACCCAGGCCGCCAAACCAGTACCGGTTTGGCCAAACCTGGCCAAACCAGTAGGACCCACCATTGATATAGATAGACCAGACTCACATTGCTATAAATAATTGTTTGTGCTAGTTTGTTTATAATTGCATGTATTAGATGGTTTATAAAAGCCACCCTTCACACATCACACTATGCTCCAAAACATGTTTGATGAACTATTGTGGCTGGAAATACAGAACATACTAAGCCAAAACGTAATTTACTTGGTTTTGCTATATCACATGATGGAAAACCACCCAGAATATGATGGCGAAAAGAAAAGTGTTCATTCATTCTTTATCATATCTGTTATGGTAGGTTTCTACATAGCAGTGCCTGAAATCTTGCTCTTCACTAGGAATAGTAAGATAATAATTCAAGATTCCACCAAC